CTTCCTCCCTCCCTCCCTCCCTCCCTTCTTTCCTTCCTTCCTCTTTCTCCTTTTCTTCTTCTTCCTCTTCCCCTTCCTTTTCTCCTTCCTTCTTTCCTTTCTGTGCCATTGAACTAAAAACCCATACTTGGATATTTGTTGACAGTATAATTTTAATGAATCCCTTTGGGAAATTTTGTTAACACTCTTGGAAGATTTTCACTTATTTGATCTGGCCCTAACATTCCAAAACTGGCATGAATTTTAATTATCCTCAGATTTCACTTGGGAATAAAATGGCCGAGAGAACCGATAAGCACTTCAGAAAATCATTAACTTATTTTAGGCCATTAAATTATATCTTCTTACACTGAATAGGAGGAAAAAAAGTATTAGTAATTTATTGTATCATGTCTTGGTAATTGAAAGTAAGTCATATATTCTTCTCAAAGTACATCCAGGGTTTACATTGCCTGTTATGTATGCATGGCTTCCCTAACAAGATAATACACACTTGGAAGACAAAAACCAGACCTTCTATGTTTAATAATATCTTTTGTACCCAGCCATGTCTTGTACATAGTCGGCATGCAATAAATATGTGTTGGTTTCATTTTCTATGCTCATTCTGTCTGATTCTGCCTTCTTATATACAAGCCTCATTCAGTAATGGGAGGATAGTAATAGAAAACCATCAGAGGGAACAGTGCTAATACTGCTAGAACTTGTAGCCTTTGAAGACTTTACAATTTTGTTAGGAAGAGAATAGAGATGTATTTGAGAAATTCAGTAGCAGAGGAAGAACCATATATACCAACAATAAAAGATGGGCTCGTGATTAGTGACCAAATGAAATCTGTAGGTAATACATTTTTAAAGGGTCCTGTGCTGGCTGGAGAAACAGATACTGAGAAAATTATTCTTAAAATACCCTCCTGTCCTCCCCTCTCTCCTCACCAATAAGATGAATATATGTTTATAGAAAAATTCATTAACATTATATTATGAAAAACTTTGATTAACTATTCAATGATTTTAAACATGATTTCCCATGGATGTAGAGTATTCTATCATGTGATTGTATCATAATCTATTTAACTACTCTCCTGGATTGAAGGTTTCAATAGTTGTCCTTTCTTTTTCGTGACATACCAAACTAAGATGAACATCATTTATTGCCATGTCTTTGTGCATATTCAATAGTTACTTCTTTATATTAAATTTCTAAATGTGGGCCAGCATGGTGGCTCATGCCTATAATCCCAGCACTTTGGGATGCCGAAGCAGATGGATCACTTGAAGTCAGGAGTTTGAGACCAGCCTGGCCAACATGGTGAAACCACATCTCTACTAAAAATTCAAAACAAATTAGTCAGGCTTGGTGGTGCATGCCTGTAATCCCAGCTACTCAGGAGGCTGAGACACGAGAATCACTGAAACCCAGGAGGTGGAGGTTGTAGTAACATTGCACTCCAGCATGGGAGACAGAGTGAGACTCCATCTCAAAAAAAAAAAAAAAAAAAAAAATCTAATGTAGAATTATAACATTAAAACATTGACATACCTGGAGAATTGTTTTTAATTGTGGTGAAAACATACAATGCAACATTTAGCATCTTAACAATTTTGAATAGAAGTTAAATGATATTAACTATATTCCCACTGTTATGCAATAGATCTCTAGAACTTTTTCATTTGTGAAACTGACTCTGTCTTCATTGAACAACTTCCCATTTCCCTTCCCCTCAGCTCCTAGTAACCACAATTTTTTCCTTCCTTCCTTCCTTCCTTCCTTCCTTCCTTCCTTCCTTCCT